CTGCGGAATCCGATAGCCGATAAATTCAATAGAAGAAGCCTTGGTCATTTCACGCCTTACCGCCTCCTGACACTTCCTAAAAGAATGCATTGCTGAAATTGTATTTTTTTTGTCAAGTACATTTACTAAGCTTTCTTATGATATATAGTTTGTTGGGGTTTTATTGAAACTGGCGCGCGTACGATTTATTTCCCGAAGGGCACCCGCGAAGGTGGGAAGTAACCTTAAACCACAGTTTTGACAAGAATGAAAACCTTCATACTTTGTGTAAGAGCAGTCTCGGCAGACCACTTTTGGTTGGAAATGTTTTGGGACTCTAGGTAGTGGCTAGAAAACAAGAACAAGACAAAAGTTGGTTGGTTTAAAGAGATTGCATGAAGTGATAGCTCAAAGCCTGTTCGGATCTTTAACGTGAAATGCCCACAATTCGACTGGGGGAGGAACTGAGCTATAGCTACGCTCTCTTTGTGAACACAAAATGGTATCCAATTCTCCCTTTCTGCATAAGACAAAATGATCTGCGATGGAAGAAGAGAAGATTGGCCACCAGTAAGGTTTGGTATAAAATTTGGAACCACGATAGTGAGGGAAATTCCTGCAGATAGAAGGAACTTAAGAATGGGTCCTATGAGACTGAAAGAGGGAAAAACATAAGAATTCTCAAGGTCCTTCCAGTGAAGAGGCAGGGTTCGAAACCTTGAATTTCAGCTTGCCCTTGGGACAAGTATCTCTCAAATTTTGCTTGTCCTGAGCAAGTCTTACCTTGCTCTTTTAAGGATTTAGTTGGCAGATGACTTGCCGATCCCTTGCCCATGGGTCAAGTGAGAATGAAAAGTTACTTGCCCAGAAGGAGAATCTACTTGTCCTGGACGACCGGATGGCACTTTTTTCGAGCCCTGAAGAGGGTTTGTGCAAATAAATTGACGCCACGCAATAGGGGCGTGGGGAAAAGCCAAATAGGAAGAAGAAGAGTGCTGTTAATTAAAATCTAATGCCAATTAGATCCAGGGTGTGGTCTGAGACTCCTCCAAATTGTTCCTGGACTTTTTTCGCCACATCTAGGAGATAACATTGTATCAGAAGTCTTGAAGGCTGATCTGCGCAGTTTCTTCAGAAGGAACTTTGCTGTAGATTGTTTTTAGAAAAAAAGGAACAGTTCCTTGGTTGCAGAGGTAAGCTGAGGACGTTTATTTTCTTCTCTGCACCAATTACCCAGAAGGACTTGGCTATCAACATTGATGTCTACTCTACAATTGTTGGCAAGGTAAGAAGTGAGGAGAGTAATTGACAAGCATTAGGGCACTTTCAGGACTGCCAGTATTTCCTTAGTAGAGATGTTCAACATGCATTTGTGTGAATTCCAGTAATTTCTAACCTCAGATTGCCATCTGGTAGATGAAAACACTTCCCCATGTAAAGTCGGAGGAGTCAGTGGACAAAGCCAGAAGAATATGTTTCTCCTCTCTCCAAGGAACATGACTCTCCCTGGTATTGACAATGCCCCAATGCAATATTTCTTCATGTAAGGCCTGGGAGAGAGGAACATCAGAGTTAGGACCCACAGAAGCTATGGCAGTAGCTGTGTCCCCGATAAAGAGCTTTGCCTCAGGGGTGGTTAAAGAAAAAGACATGCTTGCCCTGAAATGTTGCAGGGTTTTAACTTGCACAATTTTTTTTACATGCTAAAATCGTCTCACATAGCTTAACAAACTTCTCTACCTTATCCTTGCGTAGGATGAATGCCTGCAAAGTTGTATCAATTGTCAAATTCAAGTAAGTAATGCGACTAGCTGAACGAAGACAGACTTGGCCAGACCAATAAAGTACCCGAAATCCACAAGAATAGAGCAAACAATATGTAAGACAGCCAAAACAGTCAACGTAGCAATGACAAATACAAGTGTACGATTTATGAATTTATTGACAAAAATAGCGGAGACAATAACAACGGGAGCAAGGAACAAAAACGGGAATGAGTAACACAAGGGTTATTGAGAATATAGCATTTGAACTAAACCAGTGCTTGACTTGAGAACTTGTGTATAGCTCAGAATAAACCAACTGAATCAACTCAATTTGCTGAACAAATGGTTGCCAATTTATTACAGACTTGAGGAAACTGTAGGAATAACTCTAAACCAAGTAAGGCTAGGGAGTGTATTTGTTGCCCACAAATACAGGATTTACCTAAGGGAACTAGGAGGTAACTTCTTCTACACAACAGGATTTAGCTAAGAGAAGTGTGTGGGAATGATCAAATCACCAACACATACCAAAATAAGGTGTGTAAGGAAACCAAACTAATGTAGGAAAAAAACCCAAATAGTAATAAGAATGATAGCACAACACTAATAAAAATAGTTTGACAATTAGAACTGAAAGTGAACTAAAGTGACTTTGTCACAGATATAAATACCCACTTTAGCGGCCTTGAACTTCAAGCTGGAATATCACTGAGAGAAAGGCAAGGACCAGGGTTCTTTGCAAGTGGAAAACTTACCATTGAGTCGCTCCTTGATGTACAGGGAACTCAGAATACTGAGATCTTGTGTGAAGCTAGACACAACCAGGCCTGTTGAATGATATATGAAGGTGGACTCTTTCCATCCAAATTGTAAGATATTATTGATGAGCCACCAGCCTCCCAGCTGCATTCCAAAAGAACGTTGAGATGACGCGGTTAATAATATGTGGTCATAGCCTGATTTATTATCACATTTCGTGAGGAATGTTCCTTGATAAGCATAACGAGTGACATGCAACAATTTGTTTAAGGAAAATCCTCCGTCTGTCATCCAGTTGTTCATAAACCTTGCGTCCTGACACAATCAAGGATTTGAACGCTCTCATGTTAAAGTGAGAACAATGTACGTGGGTCAACCTGACCCACTTGCCCCCAAACATCCATGGCTCCGACTATGTGATATTTCGATGAGATACAGTCATCAATCATCACCCTTAAATATTTAATATGATTCTTGCTGACCAGAGAGTGGCAGGTTCCATCCTCGCTTCTAATTTGGATTTAAATTTTACGGGCATATCCATTTTTTAGTGGACTTAATAATCATGAAATTAGTTCTCACCATGTTGATTGACAATTTGTTTGCATTTACATCACACCATTCTTTCACCTTTTCAAGTTCAAAGTTAACTAGAGCATCAAGGGTTTTAAGGTTATTTGCCGAGGCGAAAACATTAGTATCATCAGCAAAAATTTGGATGCTTTATTTATTGAAGCAATTAGATAAGTTGTTTAATATGTAAATAAGGAACAGAAGTGGTCCCATTGTGCTCCCCTGGGGAATTCCAATTTATGTGCTGTGCACATAAATTGACACTTGCAATGAAGTGATTTGTGCTTCATTGATTGTCTTTTTTTACTGGTACAGTGCTTCTCCCAAATAATGAAATCAGTGCTGAACTTGAAGTTTGTTTTACATTGTATTAATATTATATGCGTGCAATGTTGTTACGATTGATAACAGATTCTTGTTCTTTAATAATTTTTACTAATGTGATTGTGGTTTCAGAGTACGTGAGGTATCACCTGAAGGGCATGCCTTGTCCATGGGAGCCTGTTTGGAAATGTTACCAGCACTTGAAAGACTCTTAACATCTAAATTTGAAGAGTGAGTTAACTCTTGTTATTGCCACAAACATGTAGACGTATGCACATAGTTCTTTCCATACGGCGTATATCATACTGTAGTACCCAAAACCTGACATATTTGGAACAGAGGAACGGGTATTGCAGTATTGCTATCACTTTCTTAAACACATTGCTTTGTGTGGAATAGGTTTTTTTCCTCTTCCCCAGGGGCATTTCAGTTTCCTGTGTACTTTTTTTTAGATTTTGCTTGTTATTTATGGTACTAATAATTGTTTTCCATAATATTCGCAAAAGTTGAAGATGACTAAACTAGTCAAAAATGTTCACTTTTTTTAACTTAAATAATGTCTTAAATTTGTCTCCATGAATAGATTATTTGATAAACCTTCTTACCCAGGTGTTTCTGACTGCCTTGCTTGTTGTATTGGGAGTGATTGTTTTTGCCATTTATGTTACATTTACTAGGAGAAATTGTTGATTTACAATTGCTGGCATGTCGGGTGGTCATATCGCATTTGAAAATAAAAGTCACCAGGTTAATTCTGCTTAGTAAAGATGTTTACCTGATATAGTTAATAAAATATCAAACACAAAAGGCCATATTTGACCACATTTCTAAACACTGAGAAGAGAGTTAAAAATACGATGCATATTGCAGTATTTTTGGCAAACCTCAAAGTGTTCGGAAATGTGGTCAAACACTGTCTCGAGTGTCTGAAATATCTTCTTACTAAGGAAGAAAAGAAGTGAAATCATAAAAATCTATGCCAAGTATGATCCAAACACTATTACATGTATGATTTTAGATAATGAATAATTTTATAGTAAATGAGAAGTCTGCAACCTCTATGTTCATTTTTTGTAAATTTAAAAATTGTAATCTTTTTGTGGAAATGTATAACTGTGGTTGGAAGTGCACTTTATGAGTACTTTGACCAGTAATTTGAAGTGCTTGACAAGTTTAAAGCTAAACATTCCTTTATCATAACAAGTACACCAACCATTTAATAGTAAATTGCTATTATTAGATTTCTGGACAGTGTTATTCAGACCCACAAATGCAATTTTCTGCAACTACTGTACCTTCAGCTAGTGTAATACACAAAGTTCCATTACTTTATCAGCCCACACATGAAGTCATTACGGACTCTTTTTGAAGTCACAGTGCAAACCATCTCAACGGTACATTTGCATTGAAAACCATGTTGAATATATAGCTGTAGAGGATTTAACTCGCTAACTCCATATCATGTGTATAGACTCTTGCTTAGGGGAGGGGCAATGTATAAAGATGGCTTAGCAACTGTTTTGATATTTGCTATGTAACAGTATTTACCGTTACAGCTAAAGCGTCACATTTGGAAATACTCAATATTATTTTGCTTTCACTAAAACCCACCAACTTTTGGAATGGTCGAGGCACTTTCGAGGAATTAAAATTGGTTTGCACTGCTGAAGCATAACACTATACCTACTGAGAACTAATGAAATATTTTGCTGCGGTAAAATGTATTGGGAATTTTTTTCATTTTGGAAACCTTCCAGGAGAAATAACAAGTTCTATGTACACAAAACATCTACCAAACAAAATGTAAATATTGAATTTAATTTTCAAAGTGACAGGCATAGGTTTAGTTTTGTCTCTAAAACCTCTGGGGTCCTCAATAAACTTGTTGAAATGAAATGTTAAAGCAACTAGGATTTTTGTATGGCAGAAAATATTTCAACTCACATTAGGTTTACTCATTCAGTATTTTTCATATTTTTGTTGGTGATCTCACCTCAACAGTTGTGACAACAGCAAGCATTGGAAGCTATGGTTGGTTCTGAATGGAGTCAACCAGGTTTTTTTAGGAAACAGAGGTTTACATGTCAAACATTTGTTCATCGTTTGATTTTCCTCTCTAAAATTTTCCTTGAAATTTATTTTAAAATTAACCCCACTAAGAAATCAACCAAAATGTTGCACTGTGATTTGCCAACTTCTACTTTCAAAAACGTTTGTTAAATGGCTACATCAAGATGCGTTGCACTCTTAGACTTCTTTGACTTAGTGGATAACCCCATTACATTCTGAACCTTCCTTTAAATCTCTGAGTTCACCTGCCCTTAGTGCACATATTATGTAATAGCAGAGTAGTGATACTGAAAAGGACAAGTAATTAAACATTCCACTGCCATCCACCATAACCAACTTGTGAGAAGATTGTAAGAAGCTGGTAAACATCCGCAGTCCCCTCTATTGCTCGTTAATCATTTGACATCACACTCAATTGTGGAACAGCCCTCTTGAATAAATTGCATGGGGACCGAAATTGAGGGAAAGAGCAAACAATATGCTCCGTTAGTGGGCTAGGACAATTTACAAGGTATCTCAACTTTACATGATCTGGGGTTAAAATGCTTTTGACAATTTGTTGACAACTGAGTGCAGCCAACTTTCAATAAAAGAGTCTAGACGCTGGCTTTCCCACTGTTATAAGAGTTCATGCAAGGGAAAGGTGCTTCTATGGGTACAGTTACAGGCTGTTCAGCTTTCTTACAGATTGTTTTTTAAATTGTAATGTGTATTGATCATCTGTTGTGCAGTTACATTATTGCTGGACTGAACATGATCAGGGAGATGATTAAACGTTGGTGGATGCAGTTAAAAGCTGCAACAAATAAAGGTATTGAACCAGAGTGGCAGAGATGTAGCAGGTATGTTGATGTCCAGTCTTACGTTATGAGCATTCAATGGACCTTGTATTGGAATAAAAATACAAGCAATCTCCTCAGACATCTGTCTGTTTGAACTGCAGCTCCAGTTACGGAATACAAGGAATGCATTGTGAATAAGTTGGAATTATATTGAAGTCATTTTCAAGTTCTTTTACAGCTTAGAAGAACAAACAAAGCTTGGGATAGTTTCTATAGTTCTGTTAGATATTGTGTACAATTGGTCTCCACAAATTTATGAAAACAACCTGAAAAATATCGAGAGCAATACCTTTCAATGGCGCCACTCTATTGTTACATTGCTGCAAAAACTTATTTTTTCAGACAGAAAGACAGTTGTTATATTGGGCCACACAGTAGTGTCTGCTTCGTGTATTTGTTTGCAGACTTGTGTCCTTTACTTCTTGCCCCTGAGAAGATGAAATGTCATTTGATACCAGTGGATGTTAGTGTTTATTGTTTTGTTTTGTTTTGTTTTGTTTTGTTTTGTTTCAGTAGGTGGACATCTCGACGATGATATGTTTTGTTGTTGTTGTTTTTTTTCTCTTGTAGGAGTGTGAGTGGCTTGTATATGGCAATAGTTTCTCTATCCACCATTATCGTCAAACTATCCAAGAGGAAGGGACGAGTGGGTGAGAAAGCCCTTGTGAGTAACTTACAAACTGACTGACTTTTAGTCCCTTGTTTTATTGCAAACAGTTCTTTTTACCTTTTGATACTAGCTTTTTCGCGACTTTATCTGCAATTAATTCTTGTATGATTATATTCGTGGCCACTGCTGATAAAATGGTGCTTTTTGCTTTTGAGAGAGTGGGTCACTGTCATACTTAAATAGCGGTAAATGTTTAGGACGAACAATAAGAAAAAAATATTTTGTTCTTTCCAATTGATGCGTAACACTTAAGGTTATTCCCTTGTAAAAGAACCCGCCATAGATTTCCGATGAAACTTGGTATGCTGTTGTTACAGCACAAGGAGATACGATATTTATTGAATTACGTGCCCAACCTCAAATAAGCGCCCACCTCGAATAAGCACCCACCCCGAAGGTAGAAAAAGTTAATAAACGCCCACCCCCACCACCCAACCCCCAAAAGGTACTTTTTAAGCACCCAACCTCGAATAAGCGCCCCACCCCCCCACAAAAAAATCTCTAGTTTCATTGTCTGAAAATTTATGACAACATTGGAATTTTTCTCAAAGTTTCAACTGAAATGTCCATGTGGGCGCAAAATTCTTACGGCCGCAAAATCTCCCGCTCAAACTTCGTGGCAATAGCCCTGCTTGGTGTCCGCGCTTTGAATGTTCCTGGCACAACAAGTCCGTTCTCCAGCCTTCTTGACCCTGTTACTTTAACAGAAACCTCATTATCGTCGTAAGCTCTCAGAAATGTATAGATAAGGTAAGACAGTTCCATTGGCACATGTCCTACAAGCTCACTGCCAGTATTAGCTTCCAAGTACTTCCCAATTGCATATTCATCATGTTGTTTGGCTTCCTTGCAATCATCCTCATAGCAGTTAAGTTTCTCTCCCAAAGTTGGAGTCCACACAGATTTATAAATATGATGACCTCGTATAACTGATGTGAATTGCACTTCAAACACAAAGTTCCATTTCAGATAATAAAAACTTGAACAAGCCATGGCGTTGAATTCATGGCATTCATGTGATGTGTAAACTGACAGATCAGATATTTGATTCCAGTGATGTTTAAAAAGATATAAATCACACAAGTCACATTTTCATCTTCCCTTTGTTCTGACAGCATAGAGACTGATGCATCTCAGTCTCATGCCGGCAAAAAAGTAAGTTCGTACTCGACTGAATATAAATTAGAAGCTATCAAGTTTGCCGAAGAAAGTAAAAGCATCTCTAGCGCTGCAAAAAAGTTCAACGTAGACTGTAAGAGAATTCGTGAATGGCAAAGCGCCAAGGCAAAACTTCAGGCTGTGAATAACAGGAGGAAACGTCTTGAAGGAGGAGGTAATAAACCATTTGATGTTGGCCTGGAAGACGAGCTTTTAGAGTGGGTACATGAACGCAGGTCCAGTGGTCTTCGAGTTTCAAGGGCAATGATTCACACAAAGCGCGAGCTATTCATGAGCAAAAATGCAAGGCAGGGCAGGTTTCTCCATCTTTTATTGCAAGTAATGGCTGGGTCCAGAAGTTTGTGGCCAGGAATGGGCTGTCTGTGAGGTGCAGAACCACTGAATCGCAGAAAGGTCCGGACAGACTTATCGACAAGCTTATTGCCTATATCTTACAAGTACAACGACAGTGAAACAGTCATTCCTACAATCATAGTGACGTTATTGCCATGGACGAAACAGCTGTCTGGCAAGATATGCTGTCCAGCACTACTGTTGACAACGTGGGAGAAAAATCAATTCGACTGAGGACAACAGGACATGAGAAGTCCAAAGTCTCCGTCTGTTTGACAGCAAAGGCAGATGGAACAAAACTAAAGCCGTTCATTGTCTTTCCGGGAGCCAAGAGAGAAACAAAGCAGCTTAATGAGGAGTTTAAAAATAAGTGCTATGTAGTCTCTTCTGTGAACGGATGGATGAATAAAGACCTGACTCGTTACTGGGTGCAAGGAGTATTGGGCAAGTTCTCATTTACTCGTCGGATGTTGGCTTGGGACTCTTTTAAATGCCACATCACAGACAGCATCAAGCAAGAATTCTCACATGCAAAGACCAAAACTGTCATAGTACCCAGTGGTTGCACTAAGTATATCCAAGCCCCTGACGTGGCATGGAATGAGCCCTTCAAGGCCAAAGTAACTGAGAAGTATGATGCATGGATGGCTGACGGAGCTCATTCATTTACAGCTGCAGGAAACATGCGTGGCCCACCTCGTCGTGAAATCGTCAAGTGGGTTCTTGAGGCCTGGGAAACTGTAGACAGAGAGTTAAATTATCTGTTCTTTCACCGTGCTCACTGTGGCTCCTGACAGATCTGAAGATGATGAGATTCATTGCCTAAAGAAAAGTCAAACTTGTCATGCAGGACAAGATTGCCTGGCATCCATCCAGCAAGCCCTAACAGCTTCTCGCGCGACTGACCCATTTGCTGATGTTACGTTGTTGGATGTCGAGGAGGCAGCACCAGAAAGTTCACTTATTGAGCTGAGCAACGATGACATTGAAGTTGATTGAGAATTACGATAGCTAAAGAGACTTCTCTGAAGACTGAACAATGAGTTGTTAGTCCTGGGCATAAACCGAACAATGAACAGTTACAATTTATATGCTTTAATATTTTGTCGTGTTTTCTTCTTATTTATTGTATTGTTAGAAAATAAACTTTTTTCTCACTGAAAATGGTGAAAACTTAATAAGCACCCAGCCTCAAATAAGCACCCACCCTGAAAGTCCAAATATTAAATAAGCACCCTGGGCGCTTAATCAAATAAATATGGTATTTAAAATGTAGTAAAAAGAGGGGGTCACCGTTCTTGTTTTCACGCCACAATGCTGACAAATACGGTTATTTAGGTGACTTTTGGTAATCTCCGTGCGCAACAAATAAGCTCGATTATTTTTCAATGCTGCATGTCATATCACACAGAGTTTGACTTTCTTTGATTGTTTGTTCATCTACGTCCCAGAAAAATGTCTTCAAATACCCTGCATTTTTTTTCTTTGAAGGGAAACATAATTTGGACATGCGCTGTTTGACCCGTTATGTCTCCCTCTGTAGTATTCATTTCATTTTCCAAAAAAGTAGCCATAGATTTCTGCTAATTTTTGCACGTGGATGACGTCATCCATGAGCTTAGGAGGTAGTAGAATGGCACTCACTCACTCGATTCTGATTAATTTATTCATTAAACTTGAATTAAACGATTTTCTCCTACCTTCCCTACTAAGTATTGTTTTTGTCCAAGAGCGTGCAGTCGTCTTCAGGAATCCTTCAGGAAGGTTTTTGACGAGGGGAGAATAGAAAGGCTTCCTTTTTTACCCGAAAAATGGAGAGCCTGGGTACAAGTTTGTCAAGCGCATCAAAGGTTGAAGTCGGCCATTTTGGTTTCATGTTTTTTCGTAAATATGTTGTTTTTTGACTATCGGCTTTTTCTCACACGTAGATGAAAGCTGGTAGAGGTATTTATGACTGTGGTGATGTATCGGTCACAACAGCACGGTCGGTGAGATCAAAGAATTGATACAAGAAAGCCAGAAAGTGGGATCGTGTTAACTTAGCATATGATGGAAATTAAGCTCGTGGCTTTTTCTCTTGGCAAGAGAATTTGGTGTTTTCTACTCACTTTCTCTCCTTGTGGAGTCGAAGGTAAGCTTAAGTTCTTGTTAAGTTTTGGTTTCATTCTTTCGTCATTGTTTTATTTTGTATACACGCATTGAAATTCTGCCTGTGTTAGTATCGAACAGAAGTTCGAAATTTGTAAGCTTATTTAGAATACTTCAAGTGAGAAATTTGAATTACCTTATCTTTTAGTTTTGCTGTCGTTCACACTTCATTTCTTTTGTATTCCATGCAGTTCGACCAGAGGGAAAATTTCTTCAGAGATGGTATGCAAGTCAACCTACATGTACGATCGAGTAAATATACTCCTAAATATTTTAGTGATCATGGATGGACAAGTCCAAGAGACTGTGTAGATCTACTTTTTGCAAGAGAGAGATGCTGTCCAATTGTGTCAAACATAAGCTAGACGCATGATGGCTGTGATGTAGATTTTTTTTTACTTCAAGAAATGAGAGATTTAAACAAATTGAAAATATGAATTATGGAGAAGAGATTGCTTGTAGAATTACTGTCTTAGTTAAAAAGGCAAATTAACATAATGAACTTGATACCTGTCAACATAAGTATGTTCTGTAATCATTGCAAAAATCTGTTAGAAGAGAGGTATCTGCAATCCTTTTGAATATTACTGCACTGCTAGTGAGATTAGCCGAACAATTACCAAGATATATAGGAATAAATTACCGTGATTTATGTTTCCAAGAAAGAGAATTGTTATTTTACCTGCATACACTACAATATGTAGTACCCTTATTATTGATTGCACCAAGCTAGGGGGGGGGGGGGGTTCTCCCTATAGTTGACTAAAGGTGCCCTTTTTTCAGGCTGGAGATATTATAAGACTCAACAGGACAGGGATTTCAAACATGAATTGATTATTTATCCAAGAAATAAGACATAGTGGGGCCACATTAGGTTTGTGAAAGGGGTTTCAAGCTAGGAGCTACATGTATATGAAAGAGAAGCCTTTCCTGTCAAAAACACTATGTAAAATGGATAGGGTTTTTACCTTGGGGCAGAGCATCCTGGTATAAAAGTTTGTTACTTCCCTTCCACCTCCCCATGGACATAGTTATATAGCAAAAAAACTTAGAAATTGTAAATAAAAACATCCCCTTCACTGTGGGTTCAAGATTGAAACAAAACTGTCTGAAATTCTAATAATATTGAAGGAAATACTTTTCTTTCTATAGATTTCCCATTTACCAGCAAGCTAAAATCAAATTGTTTATATTTGACATAGCTTAAAGTAAACAAGATTTTGCCAATATCCTTGTCTCACTTAAGTGAAATTCGGGCAAAATACTCTTGACAGTCTTGGCATTCTCAAGTTGATTGTCTAAAAGAAATGTTAAAATCATGTGTTACAATTTTTGCACAATTGTTATACTCAGTTGTTTCGTAATGTTAACTGAACAAGGATCATAACCAATTTACCTTGACCCAAAATGTACTGCCGACTCCCTAATATTATACATATATTATAACAAACGTCAGTGGCTAGGTGTCAATTTTGGACTGAGTGGTGAATATTGTGAAATCTCATTTAATGATTTCATTTTGAAACACTGTTGTTATTCTTTGACACTACATCATGTCATGTACAATTTAATTTAATAACAATGCTTCAGTTCCAATCAGAATTAACTAAAATAAGCAGTCTGTGTAAACAACCTGTTATTTGATTTTTGTATTTCTTTTCTATTTCGAGCAGTCTGGGTTCGAGCCATGGCTGGGAACACTGTGTTGTGTTCTTGGGCGAGACACTTTACTCTCATAGTGCCTCTATACACTCAGGTGTATAAATAGGTACTGGCAAATTTAATGTTAGGGGGTAACCCTGCGATGGACTAGCATCCCATCCAGGGGGCAGTAGAAATACTTCTAGTGGCTTCATGCTACGGAAACTGGAATAAGCGCTGGCCTGATGGGCCGCTTGGCACATATGCCAACTTTACTTCCACTCCTTAGTTGCCGTTTGCTTCTTTTTCAGAACGAGTGCCTGTGCAAAACGTTTGACATGAAAATGACTTGATTTTCATGAGAATGAGCGTACAGCTGACATACATTTTCATACGCATAGTTTCGCACAAAGACTCGTTTTGCCACAGAGGTAAAAGTAAACTTGGGATTGGCCTATTCTCCATGAGCTGGCTCAGGGAGCCTTTGATTTTCTCAGTTACTGAGGATATTCTCATTGAAATTATGAAATAAAAGGTGGGGGTCACCGTGCTCGTTCAAGAGAAAAGGGGCATTTCTTTAACAAACTGACGTCAGTTTCTTATGCTTCTGTCCTCTTATTGCGTCATAACATTGTTAAAGTGGCTGTGGAACCACGAACCCCAGGCGAGTGGTTCCGCAGTAAACTTTGACAATGTTATGACGAAATTTATCATCATTAAGAGGACAGACGCATAAAAAACTGACGTCAATTTGTTTTTTACAATAACGAGACCCCAAAATGGTCAAATGCCGGCAATAAATAAGGGAAAAAGACGCCGTAAACTTGCCGTAAACAAAGAAAGATGAATTTTAATCAAAATGACGCCAACAATCTCAATAGCTTTTCTTTATGATTGGCTACTTAAAAAAGTCCAGAAAATCTCATTGGTTAAAAAGTTGACAGTTTGACAGCTGAAAGTTGAACTTGAAATCTTGTATGCATTAAAATTTTATCCGTTTGTTCTCTTCTTGATGATAAAAATGAGCCAATCAGCGCGCAAGAGATTAGACAGTTATTGTAAAATTCGCTATCGAGCTTAGTTTGAGGGAAAGCTCTTACGTTTTGTACAAGCACGCGCTCGTGTGCACGTGCTAATGACGCGAAAATCGTGCGCATTATGGATGCGCATGCAATACTAAGGTATCAACTTTAACGAACGTTAAAATTCAATCGAAAATAAGAATAGACAACTGATAAAGGAGATCAATGTAAGAAAGGTCATTTTGTAAAAAATTACAAGCATTTTGGGCATAACTGTAGCCCTTCTTCAGTGTGAAAACATTAAGTATTGGTAAGGGTGACTATAATAACTACTTATTAACTGAGAGTGAGGTCTTAACGGAAAATTTCAAACCGAGACCTTGCCGGAGCGATAGCGAAGTCAATGCGGAGCCGAGGTTCAGTGGAGATTTTCCCGTTAAGACCGAACATGCGAGGCTAATAATTAGTTTATTGTATATCTTTTTGCTTGGTTTTGCAGGCCCGTAATCAACTCGCAGGCTTTACGAGAAAATAACACCCTTGTATTAGCCAATCAGAGCGTGCGTTATATAATAATCGCAATAATGGTGCAAGAACTTTTGCATGCTGACACCCCCGCTGCTGCACTTGCCTGTACACCACGCCCATAGTCCAAGGCATGTATTTGGCCTAAGGGCTTCAACCAATATTCCTTCCGATAATGCTTTACCTGCTAATCAAAGAATGCGTGCACTGCATCTTGTACCATTGATGATCCTAGCTGTGCAGCGGGGAGACTGGTTGTACCCTATGACTTGATAAACATCTTCGTAGTGTCCAAATGAAGATTCGTGGTTTCCCGGTCACAGAGCACTTGAACTCTCCCGGATACATTCTATCAGACATCAGTCAGTGAGAGGTTTGAAGAAGTGTGTTGATGCCAACCTCAGAAGGAAACAATTTGAAATGGAAATCATTTTCAGCTTTGTACTATGTAACCAGAGGGTCTAAACAATGTTTTCCATTTAATATAACGGTGTGCTCGCCTGGCTCCCACGTGCAGTGTGCTTCTTTCAAATGATCAGTCGTGCGTTCGATTACTTAACGGTTTGACACTGAAGAACGCTATGCCCGAAATGTTTTGACTTTTCAGAATGACCATTTTTACAGGTGCCTCTTCTATCGTTTTTCTATATTTGTATTTTGTTTTGGATTTTGATATTAGATCAAGGTATCCATCTAACACTGTTTCTTCAGTAGTAATAGATGTCCAATAGTAGCATGTTTCTTCAGGCAAACTATAATCTTGGTAACTAAACGATTCGAACATTTCTGATTTTCAAACACTTTTCTTCCATGATAAAATCAAGGAAAGAACAAATACTTGCAAAGCATAATGGTAGACAAAGAAGTTATCCCCAAAAATTTCACCAGGCCTTAAAATCTAAAAGATGCTTAAATAATCCTAACCAGACAAGTCATATCGGTATAAACCTTAATGACAACCAGGCGAAGAACTGTTTTTATAAGTTTGTCAAAAATAACATGAGCATAAAGCCAATTTAAGAGGTACTCTAGGTACTCTGGAACTGTCAGCCAAGTGGAGCCCGTGCACTCTCAGCTTCAGTCTAAGCATATTTGGCTGATTAAGAGATCACCTGTGGCGCATTAGCAACAGTGGCCTAGATTGAAGCCTGGTACTCTCACTTTCTTGTGTTACAGTAAAGCATTTTTTGACAGCATCATCGTTTCGATTATCACAGTGTTACGACAGGAAAGTTCGCTTGTTAACGATGTGCTTGCTTTGTTATACAATCACGGTAACGGCCTACCATTCTGTCGAACAGATTGCACCGAGTTGGAATCAAAGGACATAATGACTCTTCAAACACCTTCCAGAACGACATCGTTTCCTTTTCTCTAAAACTGGATGTTGTCTTACCCAGAGTTGAACATGGGTAGTACTTGTTCCTTTCTTCCTTTAGGACTGTTTTGGATGGCTTTTTCGCTGTACACAGGCTAAAGCCAATGCCAAAGCCAGTGCCGTTCTCCTTGCTTCTGATGTTCCATTTGGTTGGCAACACTAATATATAGATTTAGCCAAGCCTAGAAGCAGAGCTCCTTGGCCGGGTTGTTCAAAGCCCGATTAGGCAAACCCAGGGTAAGCGAGAATTTCGATTTGAGTTTTGTAACTTTGCGTTGAGGTTTTCTGTTTATATTTTATGGCTTTATGTTTTGATTTTGAATAATCTCAAACTACACCAGGAGCCCATGACCCAAAAGCAGTGAAAAACATTTGCGTAGAAGAAAAATTTATACTTCGGTTAACTATTAATCCTGGGTTTGCGTTAACCGGCTTCCGAACAACCCCACCCTGATTATAGCAGTGCTGTATGGCAGTGCATACAAAGGTCTCCAGGCTTGACATCATTAGTTTATGAGGAAGGGTTAACTTCCATTAATCATCCGTTTTATCATTGTTCTCTGTATTTTTATCTCTTAGAACTTTCTTTTTAGCTCTTTTACTTTTGTAAAGCGCTTAGAGCAGATCTGGATAGGCGCTATATATATTTAGAAAACAGCCCTAAGAAAATACGCGCGCTGATGACGTAATGATGCCGCGAGCAAAGAGAATTTACATTTTGATCATCAAAGTTAACAAGTTGTTTTCCTTTTTTTCTAAAAGAAATAGAAAACCTATTCTCTGTGTTTCTATCGAGTTATAGAAACACTCGTGAAAGTTTGAGAGAACTCGAAAAAGCTGTGGAAACACTCGCCTACAGCTCGTGTTCCCACAGCATTTTTCGTTCTCCCAAACATCCACTCGTGTTTCTATAACTCGATGGAAACACGGTACATGTTTTCTATTTCTTAAATAAATATCTGTTCTTATTACAAGTTAACCTAACATGAGCCTGTGCTCCAAGAACTTGGTCAGCGGTCAACTTTTTTTCTTTAACCCTTTGAATACCAAACTTTCGCCAAAAAATACCGTTTTTAACAGTTTAGTCAGGTTTTTTAGCTGCCAGACGCTAAATAAGCCTAAGTTTTCCTAAAAAAGCATTTTTTAAATGAAAGGAGAGATTTTTCGAGGATTAGGTACAAAATTGAGCAAAACTTCAATTACGGGCACGCGCATAAGCCAAAATTTGGACTTTTTTTTTTTTTTGGCATTAACCGTTGTTTTTCGATTTGCGACGTCGGAATGTCGTCGATATCTAAATCTGACCATTGTGCGGAAAGGGCTAGCCTAGCACTACTATCTGCTCATCAAGAATATCTGATGACATTTAAATTGATGACGTCACAAGTGGTACAAAGAGCACGACCATTAATTACGCGTATATGCGTAGTTGGTATTCAAAGGGTTAAGAAGCCACAAGACCTTGATGATCCCTTAATCTTAGCCCGCCATACAGTCACGTGATACTAGTCAGCGGATACCTTAATTTGACAGGTATCGATTGACTATAACATGGATGTCCAATATCAAAGATATACCCTGTAAACTAAGACTGCATGACTTGATGTTAGCTGGAGTATGGCCGCCATGTTGCGTGACGTCGTCATCGTTGGGCGCACGCGCCCGCGATCCATGCCGCTAGCCATGTTGACCATGAAAAGAGAGTTGCATGGGTTTGTCTTCCTATACATGTATGTGATCCTGTTCCTACGGTTATGGTGCTCCGCTTGGCGGCCCTTGGGGCCGCCGGAGCTCCGTTATGATGAAGCCACAGTGCACCAGGGGTCTGGTCCGGTCAGAATGTCAAATCTTTTCCGCGCGGGGACTTCAGACAATGGAATTTCTTGACATGATCCCATTTGACCTTTTGTTGATTCCAGTCTGTAATTGAGTCTTGACGCATTTCGTCCAACGTACACGCTTCAACAGTTGACAGAGATCTTGAGAGTCAAGTGAAAAGTATTTCTCAGTCTATGGTGTTACAATGGTTTATTAAAACTGATTGGTTTATTTACCCCTGATGGTATTGGCTGTGACCTGAAGAGGACTTCAAGAATGCTGAATTTAAACAGTAATTTAGCGAAAACTGCAGTATCATCCGTAAACTTTTGGATCATTTTGGTTTTCTGTGGAAAATAATCGCTAGATTTAATCATTAAATCGCAAAGTACAGAGTGAAGGACTTTTTCCTCGTCTCGCTGTCATTGCAACAAGCTAAAATGGCCTATGTCGCGTTGCTCAAGCTTGAAACAATAAATTATGCAGATTGCAGAGAACGTTCAATTGGAGTCAAATGTTCTAATTAACAAATAATAGTCTATTCTGCTCGAGCGTAATTGTAATCACGCTCTAGGGTGAAAAAATGTCAGATCGCTTCCCTGAGCTGTCAGAGAGTGATTGCGTTCGACAGAACGCAGTCCTAATGCGGACTGGAGTGAGATTTTATGGGACAAGGGATGGATGGGTGGATCTTGGGACGCAAAATTGGGTCCCCGCAGAATGCAGCAGGGGCGAAAATAAATGACGTCATCCCAAAGCACATGCTTACGAGTCAGTTTTGATTTATCAATTCTGTGCCGTGCAAATCAGCGCAAACGTGGCCTGTTTCATTGGGATGCGAGATGACGTGTTTTTGTGACATGACTTGGATAATTATTTATTTTATATGTTCACGAACACGACTTTGAATCACCTTGGCTTTAGGATGTTAACCGTGGGAACAGCTATATTTCACTGGCTGTAGTTTGATGCATTTGTTGTTGATTAGTTCCAGTCGCGACAGGCAGCTCAGTCTTTATCTTTATCTACTAGTTTCAATATGAAAACAAACTTGGTGGTCAAATGATAAAACAATTATTGAACTCAGTTATCGCCAAATGTCGTGATTTGTAAGTGTCCCGCAGACAATTATTTGCCTCACCCTTCGGCCTCAGCATATAATTGATCTGCTCGCCACTGACAAATCACGATATTTTGTTCAGCCTCGTTCACAAATTGTTGATTATTTTTCTATTTATTTTTTGCAGGTTGTTACCAGGTTGTTGGATCTTTTATGAACCGTAGAAATGGATAATTAGACAAAGTACAACTTGTACATTCTATTTATTTGTTTATTTGTTTCTTTATTATTGATTTATTTATTTTCAAATCAGTAATATAGCTCAAAACGGTATTTTTTGACTAGATAAGATTTCATTTTTCTTATACTGAAACAATTGTCTCTGAGCAGTTTTGCGAAAAAATTTCCCCAACGTTCTACCTTGCGGATTCAGATGCAGTCAGAGCCTCTTCTGTTCACTTGTGGTGGTTAATGTCTTGTGATAAGCGCTGCTTACTAAATGAGTAAAATACTATAAATAAATAAATAAATAAATAAATAAATAAATACACATTTGTCTCGTTTTTGATTGCAAAAATATGAAGAAGACTAATTATTTCCTGTTCTACCTCGGTTTCTGTCGTTAATGAGGTACGGAAAAGTACAGCCAACAAAGCACACAGAAAATATTCATTGCATATTTGCAAACCGTGTTTTTACTCGGGTTTTCCGAGAGGAAAACGCAAATCAATGTTTAGGTGGCCTCAGAATGGAAGAGCAAGGTGTACTGAGTCCTTAAGAGGCCCTGCGCCTAAGAAACGACCGATGATTTCCGGCTAAAAAATAAAATCGGCCGATTTTTA